CAATGGCCACAAGCTGAGGGAGGATAGGTTTAGGTTAGATATTAGGAAGAACTACTTCACTGTAAGGGTGGCCAGAGCCTGGAATAGGCTTCCCAGAGAGGTGGTGCTCTCACCTTCCCTGGAGATCTTCAAGAGGAGACTAGATAGGCACCTGGCTGGGGTCTTATGACCCCTGCCACCCCCAGTGCTCCTTCCTGCCCATGGCGGGGGGTCAGACTAGATGATCTATGTCCCTTCTGACTCATTGATTCTATGATACTCTGGGTGCTTTAATTAGAGTGGCTCTTGGAGCTGCTTTAATTTAAGAGCCCTCCCTTCCTCCTCCCCCCGCCCCCAACACACACACACGCTTCACTCCCGGAGCACATGTATAAACACCCTGTGGCACCATGCAACATCTTACAGTCAGAATTCAGCTGCAAAGTTCATTTTCCTTACCTATTTTTGACATCCTTCATTTTACTACCTCTTCTTCTGGGTCCCTCTTTCTCTACTGCATCACACATGAGTCTTTGCTTTCTGGACCCTCTGTGATTTATTCCCTTTCATTTCTCATTAAATATTACAAGAAAACACCCACCCACAAGTAGCCCATAATGCCAACTTGCATCACCCACTTGTCACATTTTTAAACAAGAATCTTCATGCATTTTCTTTTGCTGCCTTTCATATTTCACAACGTGTAAGAAGGTACTTCATTATCCTCCTTAAAATTCTCCTTTGCCTACATTAAACTTGACAATAGGCTGCTAAGACAACTGCCTATCATGCCAACTAACATACCAACTATTACCTCATTGTTTCCTTGTACTCTCTCATGTTCTCAATAGCCATCTGTTGTCTCTTGTCTTCTATTTAAATTGTAAACTTTTTAGGGCGAGGAACAGCTATTTATTTTATGTCTGTATAGCACCTATCACAGTGAGATCCTCCTATGCAGAACAGTCTTAGTAAATTGACTTGACTTTGGCACATCCCCCTACACTATCTAGTTTGCCAGGGGCTGAGTTTGTTAAGCTTCAGGGCCTGTGGTTAATACTCTTTACTCGGTCTTTTTCTGAAGGGCTAGACCTGGAGGAGGAAGGGTCTGGTTTGTGTAAATCAGATAGGATTTCTTTTATAACAATGTGATTTCATAACAGGATGGAATGAATGTTCATGTGCTTAGTGCAACAAATTAATAAAGTATGTAAATAAACACGAATACCAGCAGTTTGCACAGACGAAAAGCAAACTTTGTCCCTGAACATGGCTTTCTGAGTTTGCTCTATGTTTTCTGAAGGAACGCCAAGGAAATGGATTTCACCTGTGCATTTTGTAGAGCAAAAAAATAAGTGACACAGCAGGTACAACTGTGAGATAATGTATGGTAACCATGGGTATCTGCCATTTATTCTACACTGTCAGTTTTAGTGCTGGAGTGGAAGAGGCACCAAAACGGAACGCTTGAAGTATGCACGCATAGAAGCAAAGAAGCATTTCTGCAGGGAAAATATTTATCTGAAGTTACAAAGCAGGTAATTGTTCCTGTTAGTATGGGAGGCTGCTTATTTTGTGGATTCAGTTGCATATTGTGCTTGTTTGCACCCACATATAGAGTGTGGACACACAGAGAGCCTTTCAGAAAAGGGAGTGTTCCACAAGGGCAGAAGCTGGTATATTCTAATTGTTATCTGTGAATGAGCTGAGAACAATTCATATGCAGCAAACCTGCTCCAACTTTAACTGTGGATGAAGGAGTGTTAAAGTTGCAGTCCTTTGCTGCATTTGAATCAACTCACCTCATTCACAGAGAACAATTAGAGTTTACCAGCCACTGCCCTTTTGAAATGTTTCCAAACTTTGCGTCTCCACACCCATGTAGTTCCATATTGGCAGATTGCAAAACCTTCAGAAGACAAGGCACTAAAGGACCCACAGAAGATGATCTGGGGCATTTCATATGATAAAATGTTGTCACTCAGCCTAGACTCCTGTTTTTGAAAATGAGGTCTTAGCAGCACCTGTGAGTGACCTTGCCACAACCTTGTCACATA